GAGAGAGATGCGGCAACATGAATTTGCATGTGTATGAGAGAGAAATGCCCTCCAAGAGTTCCAATAAAATCTAGTGTGTAATTAGAGGGTACATGGGGCAATTTGAACTTTGCATTGGAGAGAGAGATACCCACCAATGCTTGATGAAAGTTTGAACCCAAATTCCATTTCTTTTATCCATTTAATATTGAGGCTTTCAAGAGTACAATACCTAATAGAGATGCCTTCCAGATGTCCGGTCTCTCTCTCTCTCTCTCTCTCACACACACACACACATACACACACACACACACACACACACACAAACAATGACAACAATAACAAAAACACATGTTGAGGCCAAGGTGCCTCCCTAGGTGGTGCCTGGCCACCGAGGTGGGTACCTAGAGGCCCACCTGCCCTAGGTTCCTGCCTTCCCCTCGACATGGGGCCTAGGGCCTTAGCCCTACTCAAGGTGCTGACTAGGCATTGAGGGTGGGCCGAATTGTAAAACATTGTGCTTGTCCAGTAAAAAATGTAAATAAAAATCAAGGACGAGCTGAAAATGGAGTACCTTGATAATTTCAAGACTACGTCGGAGGCGATACCAATCATTAGAAGGCAAATAACAAGCTCTTGAATCCCCTGCCTTAATTAGCAGTTGCACAGCAGCATCCCATTCCCCATTCCTCTGTAGAAGCATGAGTTCTGAGTCAACTTCAGAAGCAATCTCTGGAGATGCCTTTGGCACTTTTGGCTTGCCATATATATACCTTCTCATGTTCCAATAGCAGAAAAATATATCATTATGAACCTGACAGAGATAGGTGTACAAGACTAAGAAAGCGCTTGTTTCAATTTTGTAGAGAGAATTAGACAACCAATTTACAAAATATCATAGACCACATTTACCAAACAATACAGGTCCAATACACATAGTAAAATGAGTGTTCATGGTTTAGTCTCCATGGTCACAGAAAGAACTGTGAAAATTGGAGACTATGATTTCAAGATCAATCAAACACAATACCAATTTGAGAGTCACCAGTTTTATCTATTAAGATATCATCATCATCATCATCATCCAAGCCTTATCTTAATGATTTTCAATTGGCTATATGAATCTTGTTGCTCCACTCTCCCCATATAGGTTTAGGATTCATGATAAGATGTGGCAAAGTTTTACACTAGCTGACTACATAACGCAATCCCCCTCTTTTACTCGGGCTTCAGACGGGTTAAGGGGAAGTTTAAGGCCCTCACCTTTTTATCTATTAAGAAAACATTATCATTAGAGCTTTTTTCCAACTATTTGGAGTCGGCTACACGACGACCGATCCGCTATTCTACTCCATCAAGGTCATACCCTCAATGAGGCTATAAGTCCCCATATCTTTTTTCACTACTTCTAACTATGTCCGTTTGGACCTACCCTTTACCCTTTTTGAGCCGTCCACTTGAACCAACTTGCACCTCCTAACAGATGATGTACTGGGTCTGCGCTGCACATGGCTAGCCCACCTAAGTCTAGTTTCTCTCATCTTATCGCTTATTGGAGCTACATCTAAGTTCTCCCAAATGTATTCATTTCGAATTCTATCCCTTCTTGTCTTTCCACTCATCCATCTCAACATTCTCATCTCAGCTATACTCATTCTATGGGTATGAGTAAAATAGAAATACAAAGTGAAAAAACAGTAAAATCTAAATATAATAGTGAGAGCCAATCTCTTAAAATATCACAATGTTTTACCCCATAATGTAGTTCTTTGAAGTTATCAGCCTCAATAGCAAGTTGATGCTTATAAAATAGAAATATAATTGACAAGTAAAAATATACCAAACAACAATCTTATTTATCCAAATAGTTAGTATGACTAATTGTACCATGAAAAGCGACCTTCTATGCGCATTGGTATGCATACATTCTTTTTCTTGATTGATGAGGAAAAAGACTTGTATATTATAAAACTTCCAAATGATACTGTTTGCGGGCATTTTCGCATCAGAGCACCCCAACACGAGTTTGTCAAACATGGATTACAAAATTGTATCCTATATGCAAACTGCACCACACAACAAGCTTGAAACTTAAGGGGCAGGCACTCGGGTCTCATCCTACCCAACAAACCCTTAATAGGTAGGGTGGATGATTGCCAACCTAGAGCAGCCCAGGGGTCACAAATATGAACGGTTGTTTGTTCTGACAGGAATCCAGTAACATATGCGCCAAAAAACTGTTGGACATATGAAAGATGGTAGAAGGGGCCCCAAATGGATGCATGATGGGTCCAAATTCAAGAAATCCTCATTTTGGATGGCAGAGGACCCTACAAATAAATGTCATGAGCTCTGAAATCCATTATGGTCTAGATCTATCATGGAGCTCCTAATAAAAGACCATGATCAAAGGAAGGTAAGACAAATGCAAATTAGCCCCAAATTGGGCCTAGAGATAGATCTAGATAACCCCAAGATATTCCCCAAAAATCAGCTCAGGATGATGAAGGAGAACCAAGATATGGCAAGTTAATTTTCAAATAGTATGGTCCATGGTGATGGAGTATAGAAAAGGAGGGAAATTTACAAAGGAGGCCCTTTGAAGTGGCATCTAATTGGCCTAAAACTTTCAAAAAGCTAGCAAGTGGCCAAAAACCCTTGACACAAAGTTTGGCATCATTCTGACACCATTTGATGGGATTTACTATCAATAGTTAATCTTCGTATTAGTATTCACCCGTGGGTAAAAATCTGCAAAAATCTCTAATTTAGACAATTTTTCTGTGCTGATTTCTTCCAAACCCCATGGAGTTTTGAGTCAGGCATCGAGTATGTTGTTCTACTGGACTAGGGCTTTCCGATGATGCGTGTTTTCAGGACATCTCGACGCCTAATGATGGTGAAAGCTATATAGAAGTTGGGGTACTTTCATTGTTCATAAAGTTCTTGAAATTCATGATCTATGCCCACTCTTCCGATGATATTTCCCAATCCGGGAGGCCTTTTCCGATGAAATTTGGTGGATCGGGTTCATGACTCGATAATCTTTCTATATATATTTATATATAACCTTGTCACGATCAACCGGGTGACGATGGGTGAAAACAACGACAATTTCTGTCCGACTTATTGGAACGTGGCTGAACTCATTGTTTTCACCATTTTAAAAACTTAACTCACTCAATACAAGTGAGTTTTGAGCAATTTTTGATGCAAAACAATTGTGGGTTCAAGCTCTTCTATTTCATAGTATTGGAATAAAGAATCCAGTGAGAAACCGGCGGGATGAAGAAAAAATGTGTATAAAAAAGCATATAAAGCTGATCTTTGGAAACCCATTCACAAAACGAACCAAAACTCCCTCAAATCTTAAGAAAGTTTTGCTGAAATTCATCACAAATCGATTGGGATGAGATGCTCTACGATTTCACAACAATGGATCGCCCATTTGGGGGCTGGAATGAAGAAATATGGGCCCTATGCCATGGGTATGGATGGAACTAAGTTTAGGGGTATGTGGTGGTATTTCCAAACTATCGGTATAAAAGGCATCAAGCCCATTCATTTGAAGGTTGGAGATCATTTGTTAGGTTTAGGGTGTAGAGAATTCTATAGAGAGAAACATAACCTAGAGCATAGAGAGAGACTTCCTTAGAGAGAGAAACCCTAGCTTTACCAATTAGCCAACGACCAATCGCATAACACTGGCTTATATTCTCCATTGTCTATTCCTACCGTATCATGGACAAACATCAATCCACATGTTTATGGTGGACTTCCTCACATGACTAGAGGCTAGGATTCTGTGTGTAATCGTGGATACATTCTTGAGTATGACACATTTTATCCCTTGCAAGAACATCCTTGATGCTACACATGCCACTGATTTATTCTTCAAGGAGGTGGTTCATCTTCATGGAGTTTCCAAGACTATTCCTTTACATATAGATGTCATTTTTGGCTAACTTTATAGAAGATGTTAGCTTAACTTCAATATAGCAATGCCTACCATCCACAGACTGATGGCCAGACCAAGGTTGTTAATAGAAGCATGGCATGTCTATTGGGGAGCCTCATAAGAGACAAGCCATCATAGTGGATAACATTTTGCCACAAGTTGAATTTGCCTATAATAGCACAATCAATCAATTCATAGGGAAGTCACCATTCGATATCATATACGCACAATCCCCAAACAAGGTGTTGGATTTGGTGCTTCTGCCCGGGAAAGTGTGAGTAAGATATGACACTGAACCCATAGCTAAGCATCTCCAGGAGGTTCACTAGAGAAGCTTCAAGAAAGTTATGACAAGTACAAGGTGATGTTGATAAACACCAAAGCAAAAAAGAATTCAAAGAAGGTGATTTAGTGATGGTGTACCTTAGGCAAGAATGTTAGTGGTACGTAACACAAGCTCATATACAAAAAATATTGGGACATGTCGTGGGCTTCAGAAGATTGGCAGTAATGCCTACAAAAGTGAGCTTCCAGAGGGATATTTAATGTCTCTAATTTGTAGGAAAATCATGGAGAGCCATTGTTGCAGAAGCTGTTGAGTGGGAAGCGCAGATGCCTAAGCAGGTTACTGATTGGATCCAGGAGGTTCTTGACATTCACACCATTACTACCCGTCTTGATTCCTACAATAGGTATTTGGTCCAATGGGATGGCAAGTTTGAGTAAGAGAATTTGCGGATTTTAGTAGAATTAAAAAAAGGAAAATAACGTATATATCCATTATATTTACTGTTATTACAGGATTATCTCCAAGTTTCCATTATTACATCTATATCCATTTTTTCACCATCCTAATAATTTTTTAAAAAAGACGAAAATGCCCATTTTCGGTTTTTCAAAAACCGAAATGAGACTGAAAAAGGTTTTAAAAAAACTAATAATGTTCAAAATTTTCAGAGGAAAGAGATGGCCATTACCATTCAAAATTTGGTTTTTAAGAGCATGGTTCAATGACGTGTCGGAGATGGCCATCACCGTCCAATCTAAAGGATGGACGGAGTTGGACAGCGCAATTCAAACCATTAAATGAGGTTTTCTACTTCATTTTGCAAGCTTTGTGCCATCCTCTTCTTTTCTCGGCAGGTTTCACGGTTCTTTCACCAAGCTTCTAGAAATTTTAGGGTTCTCATTTTTCAAGGGTTTCGATCTTCAAGCTTCAATAATTCCATGGAACAATTATTTTTGGTCTAGAAATGGAGGACAAGACTACTCTCTCTTGATCTATATCAGAGCTCAATGCGATTGCTCTTGAGAACCAGAGATGGAATTGAAAAGCTTGAATGCCTTGAATCCACATTGACCAGCCTTGTTTCCTCTGAATTATCATATACTTTGAAGCGAGATATCACTAAGATTCAGGGTCTTTATGCAGAGAAGGATCGGCTAGGGCGATCTGTTACGGCAAAAGGTCAGAGAGATCTATGAAAAAGGTTAGGTTTCAGAGGAATTTTATAAGCTTTCCTTTTCAAAATCTTCCTAGTACTGCATTACTCACACTCTCCTTGTGAAATTAGGGATTTGGTCTAACTGTGAAAGAAGTGAATTGTGATATCACATGATTTACCTCTACTACCCAAATTTGTGTACTATGAAATTTCATGGGAAATATGTAAGAAATTGTGTTTCTTAATGACTTTTGGAAGCTTCACTGAGTTCTTTATTCTAAATTCCTTTAAATTTTGGGATTTAATTGATCTGCACTGGGATTTAATTGATCTCTCGTGTAAAAATTTTGAACATTTCGGTTTTTGAAAACTGAATTCAATCCCATTTCAGTTTTTGAAAAACCGAAAATGGGCATTTCTGTCAAATTGTTAGGATGATGAAAAATGGGTATAGGTGTACTAATGGAAACTTGGAAGTAATCCCGTAATAATAGTAAATATAACGAATATATACATTATTTCCCTTAAAATAATTGATGCAGAAGCTTTGAAGAAGTTCATGAATGAACAAAACTAGAGCGGGAGTTCTCTCTAACGATGGAGATTGATGCATGCTGACTTTGTGAAGCAAATTCTAGGTCCAATGTTTAGGACTTTGAAGGCATTTCTTAGCCCTAATTTCTTAAGATTTCAGCTCAGAGTGCTTAAGCACGGTTTTCAAAATGGATCATTCGACATTAGATATGCCTACGAGAACTTGGGGTATTTTCTCAAGGTTATCTTAAAACAAGTTTGTCTTAATTTATTTTGTCAGGGGCAAAAGTTTCAAGTTTGGGTCAAATTTTAATTAGGAGTTAGTTACATTAGAACTAGGATTGGGAGGTCTAAATGAAAGTTACAAATAGGGTTTAAGTTAGGGCTTTGGTTCAAAGTTGAATTATTGTTCAAAAACATTGTTCCCTAAAATTCTATTGGATTCTGAGCCATAGAAGCTAGGCTTGTCACTAGGCAGACACCACTTTATTGGACTGCTTTGCTCTTTTGTAGTTTGTCACACATGGATCCAATCAGAATCATAGCATCATCCTAGCCTCATCTCAACTATTTGGGATCAGTTACATAAATCTTGTTCGCCATTAGGCTATACCCTCGGTCAGACTACGAGTCACCATATCTATCTCACTACTTCCATCCATGTCCTTTTGGGTTCTCTAAAAGAAGTGGCTATCTGAAATTCAAGGGCCACTTACAAGTGCCATATAACACTGTTATAAACAGGGGAAAAAACCCTAGATACAACCTAGGATTTTTCCTTTTACTGCCAAATAGAATAGACACAACCTAGGGACTAAATACAAACTTAAACTAAGAATTCTAATACAAATAATGTTCCTGCAAATTGCGATAAAACTGAAAATAATGGCTGAAAATAAACTTAGAGAGCTGGGAAGACTTACTTGACTTTGCTTGGGGTCACCCCCTTATGACTTCGTACAACCCACACCGATTACTGACCAATGGTGCACTCTGGTCCTATTGGCCTTGCTGAATTTTTTGAATCGGGAAGCTTCCTTAAGCAATACCTTTCAGATCTAGGGCATAAACAAGATTATGGTTTCTAAAACCCCTTTTTAACCACTCTAGGGCATGCCATAAATGGCACTCCTTGGATGTGCCCCTCCCAGATATGTTTGGGTGGCGTGTCACCCCTAGCTGCCTAGGGTAGTGAGTGCCACCCTTTGGTGTCTAGAGAGGAGACAAACAAAGAGGGAGCAGGGTAGCATGGAGAAGGTGGGGGGGGAGGAGAGAGAGAGAGGCTCGATGGTGTGTAGAGAATGAGGGGGGTTCCCTCCTTATATAGGCCTCAAGGGCTCTAGGCCTGCCAATCTAAGTTATGACTCATCATGACCAATAGGATTTTTGGTAATTTTTAAGGTGAGATCAATAAATCTGAATTATCCACCCCATGAATCGATTATCATTTATTAGAGAGGAATCTAGGAACCTTATCCTCTTAATCTTTGACCCAAGGTTTTAAAAATCGATGATCTATATCAAAACCGGCTGATCTGGATCGGGAATCGATCAGGCCAATCGGACCCCATTAAATATCGAGAACCGGCTGGTTCCCCCCATGAGTTGGCCGGTTCTTTGACAAAATCAGTCCCACTTTATTTTTAATATTTTTTATTCCCTTTTTTTTAAAAAAATTTATTTTACTAAGACGAATTGCTGATGCAGACCATTGATCGGCCGATCCGAACTGCTTTTCTGAAGAGGCAATCTGGGTCACCAAACCGTATTTTTAAACCATGCTATGAACCTTATCCACTTCTAGTTAACCTAGGATAAGATCAATGAAAAATAAACTTCTAGAACTTCCCTTATCTCTCACAAGATTCTAGGAAATAAAAAAGATAAAAGATTTGTCTAAGAAATAAAGGACATTTCAAAAACAAAATATTCCTCGCACAAAATAAGGTCACATAATCTTTTAAAAAAAGATTACATTAGATATCCTTCTTTAATAGAACACCTTTTACAAAATTAAAAAAAACAACAAGAAAGGGGGTGTGCCACCTCATAGGTGTGATTTGTGGGCCCCATGGGCTCCATGCCCTACAAATGTGATTGTGGTGAACCTATGGGCTGGATGCAAAGGCCCCCACGTGTTCTACTTCACCCTCCACTATCCCTGTAATTTTTAGAAGGGATTGTCTACAAAAAGACCATTTACCTTTTATACAAAGAGGTTACAATCATTCTTGTATATTAGATTTCAAAATAGGTGGTTGTAAGAACGTCATTGATTAGACACAAAGTTCCAAAAAAAATTTCTTGGACTTCATGACTCACCCCAAGCCATCCAATTTGACATCTAATGAGTGGGAATAATTGTGACCTCCTTTTGCAAAAGGTAAATGGTCTCTTTGAAGATATTCCCTTTGTACAATGCTCTGCTGAAAATAATTATCAAAATTCTAAAAAAAATTTAAAATTTAGAGAAACATTTCTCAAGTCGAAAGCAAAAAATCCTAGAAGCAGATTGGCACCAATGGGTAAAGAAAAGTGACTGTCAGAGCACTCCACCCAACCCAGTAACAGTGATCCTCGACTATCTTCTTAAACCAACCTAACAAGACCCCTGATCTATAGTTTCATGCAAGGGCTCATGATTGGCTTGTCAAAGTTGGCCAATAAATAGTATAACCACAGTCTCAAAATATGGGTTACAAGTTCTCTTCTAACAGCAAGACACAACCACATATCACTATATGCTCTCTTTATGCACATGTACATGTACCCTTTGCAGGGTTGTTTATCATTATGCAGCCGTCATGTGTACATGTTGTATGAAAGTTTATTGAAGATTGAGCCCTCGTTCTCACAGATCTACATCTACATACAAGAGATCACGAAGCTCTCCTGGCCTACAAACCATCCCTGGGCATCTCTCCGACCTTAACAAGGAATGACCCTCTAGAAACCCTCAACAGTAATGCCATATGCCCAAGGATAGGGGTTTTGGACATGACTAGGGCCATAGACCGCCTAACCTCTTAGCAATCAACTAAACACACTCCAACTGAAGTGCTCTCACGACCTTTAAAATATACAAAAGCCCAATACCCTCCCCTTGACTTTTTCGAGCCTTCACTTGAACCAAATCAACCCTCCTAACCAATGTTATTCTAGGTCGACGTTGTACATGGGCCAAACTACGTAATTCTACTTCCCCTTATTTTATTGCCTATTGGAGCTTACCCCTAAGTTCCCTCGGATGTATTTATTCTTAATTCTATCCTTTTGTCTCATCCATCTCATCAACCTCAACTCAACTATACTTATTCTATGGATATGTTGCTTCTTGACTGCCAACATTCCATCCCGTAAAGCACAGTTAGTCTTACAATCGTCCTATAGAACTTCCCCATCAGTTTCATTGGTATGCGATGATCACGTAAGATTCTAAAAGCACACCTCAACTTTATCCACCTAGCTCTAATTCTATGCGCAATATCTTGCTCTATCTCTCCATTCTCATAGATTATTGATCCAAGATATCGAAAATAATCTCTTTGAGATACTTCTTGGCCATCAATCTTAATTAATTCCTTGTTTCTACATTGTTGCATTAGATACATGGCAGTCACCATTCCATGGGATGTCAACCCCAATCATCAATAAGACATGGAGGGACTCGATAGCACAAACACCCCACACATTCCAAACATTGGACTCTAACTAAAGGGTGTGGTTTGTATAGAACCAACGCTCTAAACAATCAAAGTAAAGCGCACCTTCAAATAGTGTCGAGAAATGTCGTTTCTTTAGTGGAAATCTTTGTGATAGCCTTAAAATATATTTTTATCTTTAATTATAAAATTTAAAGCTTCAAAAATAGTGTAGATCGAGCAGATCTATGAAAACTTGAAAATCTTGAAAATTGAAGGTCCAAAAATGCGTTACAAAATGCACTATTTTCAAAACTTAAAATCCATTTTTTTCTCATGTCAAGATGATCAATTTGAGGATATTTGGACTTCAAAACAACCTCTTCTAGTGAGATTTTTGAGGTGGGCTCTAATTTGATCGTTAAGAGGCTCTATATAAACGTTTTCCCCAACTAAATAGCTAACTTCATTACAATCTATGTAATGTTTTGTTAGATTCATTATGTACCAATGCTGGCCTAGTTGGTTTAAACCTTACATAATTCTTCCTAGTCTTTAGCTTTTGAATCGTCATATGGTGATGCTATTTTTGTGTTTCTAATCATCCATTAGTACTCATGAAAAACCATTCAAATAAAATCCAACCACACCATGCTTTTACGGCATATATAATGTGTTTCAAATTGAATAGGACAATTAAAGTAGGACTTCAAGAACTCAATATGTGTTTCATGGCACAACTTCAACTTCCATGATGCCAACCAGCTATATAAAACCAAACGGTTTTGCATATAGACTTACTATACTACAAAGAGCATTCATTTACAACTTTACTTCAAAATCAATACGGAACTGAAAGAACTTAAGCATGTTTTCATAGATGTTAATTCCCTTGGATATTGAGAAAAATGAAAAACCACTACCTACCATCGCAAGTACAATCCCGTACCACCAACAACTATTGGAACATAGCCATTTTCAATTACTTCTTTGGTAGCTTTCCTCGCATCCTCAAAGAATTGCCCAACAGAGTAATCTGGAATGACAGGTAACACTACATCAGCATGAACATTGAGAATTACTTTTGGCCTACCTGAAAGAAAAGACATTACTCCAAACATAATTGGAACAAGAATGTAGATATGAATACTGGACCTAGTACTCCGCCCATAATCAGAACAAGAATGCAGATATGAATACTAGACCATAGAAGGTTGAAGCCGCTGCCTAAATTATAGTATTTAAGTGAAAAGTAATAGCTTTCTTAAACAACAATTTATTAATTTTTGAAAGAACAAAATTTTTCTTCCCTTACACGTATTAAAGTTTGCTTCTTAATATGGTAAACCTTCCACAAAAACACAAGATCACATTGTTTTGGGAGGCCAAGGATTTCGGCTTTAGTCTTCAGGCTATTGCATAGTGAGAATTACAACACTTTACCCTCCTCATCCGAAGGGAAGCTGTATCGGCTAAAGAACCCAAAAGGGCCCTCTTCAGGAAAAAATGAAACATAAGGTGAGTGCACCCTATCCAATCTGTTTTGGGGAGTAAAGATAGGATTATAAGGCGGTAAAACCCACCCTTTTTACACAGAGAGGATTTTTATCATGTTTAAAAATTTATCTCTAAGCCTAATATATTTCTAGTTTAAAAGAAAAAAAAAATAACTTGCTTCTATTCAGGACCTTTTGTGGATGGTCTTGCTTCAAAATTTCCTATTGTGAACAGTGCCATAAACAGTACTATGAACAATACTGTGAACAATAGAAAGTGTCACAACTAGAGAGAGAAAGGAAAAAGAAGAGGAAAATAAAGAGAGAATAGAGAAAAGATGAAGGAGAAGAGAGGCTAGAGTGACATGGGATTCGGTCACCCCATGCCCCACTAGTATTTTTATTTATAATGTTTGTTTAAGGTTTACAAAGGACAAAAATACAGTCAATGAAAATAGGTATCGTAAAGTAAATAAAAATGATAGAAATTCCCCAGTACACAAAACAAGTTATTCTTTAAGACTTCCCCTCAAGCTGGAGTATAAATGTCACTCATGCACAGATTGGAACAAATCTGCTGAGTCTAGTTACGACTAAGCACCTTGGTGAATATATTCGGTTCTTTGCACCGAGTTTCGGTGTAGCAGCTATATTTCGATTCATTCTTTTCTTCCAAAGATTTCATAATGGGACGTTGAATCCATTTCATATGATGGGAGTTGCTGGAGTATTGGGTGTTGCTCTGCGATGCACTATCCATGGTGCTACTGTATAGTTCTCCTCCTTTATTCAAGCAAGAATGTATTCAACAATCGTCTTAGGGATACCCGAAACAAAACTGATATGATGACTTCACTTATGCGGTTGTAATTTGCTTGCTGGTCACTTTCTCACAAATGAAGCGACAATCCACTTCAATATGTTTTGTCCTTTCATGAAAAGCTGGATTGCTCGTAATATGAATGGCTACTTGATTATCAACGAACATCTTCATTGGTTCAGTAATTGAAAAACTCATTTCCTGCATCAAGGTTTTCAGCCACATTAATTCACATGTAGTATCATCCATGGCTCTATACTCAGCCTCTGCACTAGATTTGGCCACTGCATTTTGTTTCTTGTTTTTCCAAGTTACCAAATTTCCTCCAACAAAGGTGCAGAAGCCCATAGTAGATATTCTATCTAAAGGCGATCCTGCCTAATTAGCATAAGAATAACTCTCAATGTCAAAGTGGTCATTCTTTTTATAGATGAGTCCTCGGCCAGGGGCTCCCTTTAGGTATCTCAAAATTCTTCGTACTACGAACCAATGTGGTGTTCGGGGAGAATGCATAAACTAACTTACTAAACTCACAACAAAGGCTATATCTGGTATAGTGATTGTCAAGTAAATAAGTCGACCTACAAGTCTTCTATATCTGCCAGAATCTTCTGGTAAGTCTCCTTGACCCATTGAAAGTTTGGAACTTGGATCTATGGGTGTATCAACAAGTTTAGCCCCTAACATCCCTATTTTTGTTAGTAAATCAATTACATATTTCCTTTGAGATAAACTAATACCATATTGCGACCGAGCGACTTCAATCCCAAGAAATACCTTTGTTGCCCCAAGTATTTTGTTTGAATATAGTGTTGCAGATAATTTTTCAAAATCTGAATTCCTTCTTGATCACTACATGTAATAATAATAACATAAACAGCGAAGATAATGGTTTCAGCTACTTGTTTTCAAATAAATACTGAATGATCCACACGGCCCTGCTGAAACCCATATGCCATAACAAGTTCGCTAAATTTCTCAGACCATGCGCGTGGTGACTTCTTCAAGCCATAAATTGCTTTCTTTAACCTGCATACCTTGTTTGACTCCACTTGAGTAACAAACACCAGTGGTTGCTCCATATAGACTTCTTCCCATAAATCCCTATGGAGGAAGGCATTCTTAACAACAAGTTGCCATAATAACCACCCGTTATTTACTAGCTTTTGTTGGGTAGGCAACCTATGTAAAACTTTGCCAAAACTTTCCATAATAGCCAACCCCAAATAGTTTGGGAAAAGCTCTGATGATGATTTGCTGACACAGATAAAAGTACCCTAATTGAATTAAGTTTGGCCACAGGAACAAATGTCTCAAAAAATCAATACTAAATGTTTGTGTGTATCCCTTTGCCACTAGTCGAGCCTTTAATCTCTCTACATATCCATCTGGCTAGTACTTAATGGTATATACCCAACAACTTCCAACCAGTCTCTTTTCTATTGGAAAATCAGAGAGCTCTCAAGTACAATTTGTCTCAAGTGCAGCCATTTCCTCATCCATAGCTTTCTTCCATCCAGCACGCAAAAGAGCTTCTTGATAGGATTTAGGCACGAAAATGGAAGAAAGTGCTAAAGAAAAATTCTTATAACAGGGAGACAGATTTTCAAATGTAACAAAATGAGCAATAGGATGGTTTGTAGAAGATCGCTGACCTTTACGACGTGCTATTACAAGATCAACATTTTCAACTTTAGGAGTAGGTTTAGGAACAAGATGAGGATCCATAGACATAAGAAGATTGGTCGACTGCTTGAGTTGGTCGTAGTGGCCCTTCTTTTAATTTCCTTCTCTTATACACTTTGAGATGTTGTTCCTGTGGAACATTAATAGTAGGAGGAGAGGCAGGTTCTACAGAAGAAGACACTTGAGATAATGAATTATCAATAAAAAAGGAATAAGACTAGAAGAAGTAATGGGTTGTGAATTCAAAGTTCTTTTTCAAACCAGGATGATAGCATCGATAGCCTTTTTAGGTTCTAGAATATCTTAAAATACACACTTAATAGCTCGGGGATCCAATTTGTCTGTTTCATAACCTAAGACCTGAACAAAGCAAACACCCAAAAACTCTACCGGGCACAGTAAACAATAGTCTGTTGGGAAAAAGCAAAGAATGTGGTGAATTTCCACCCAAAACAGAGGAAGGCATATGATTTATCAATAACAAGCTATCAAAACATCTCCCTAAAAATTTTTGGGCATATGCATATTAAACAATAAAATACGAGTTACCTCTATTATATAATGGATTTTTCTCTCTGCTACCCCATTTTATTGGGGAGTATGCACACATGATCTGTAATGCAAAATGCAATGCGTGGCTAAATAATTATAGAAATCTAAAGATAAATATTCTTTAGCATTATTTGAATGCAAAACATATATATTCCTTTCAAATTGAGTTCGAGTTTCTTTAAGAAACCATTAAAAATAGACAAGGCCCTAGATCTGTCTTATATTAAATATAACCATGTCATTCGAGAAAAATCATCAACAAAATATCTGTAACCATGTAGACTTTGAACTCTAGAGGGACCCCAAATGTCTAATAAACAATTGAAAAAGACACAGACTCTCATTTATTAATTCTAGAAGGAATAGAGGTTCTATGATACTTTTGTAACTCACAGCCTCACACTCAAAAGTTGATAATGACTCTAATGAAGGGACTAATATCTTCAAATTATTGATAGATAGATGACCAAGTCTACAATGCCATTGAAGAGGGGAAACACTCAATGAGAGAAACTCGGCCCCCTAGGCGGCATTTTTCCAAAATGCCTAGCTGTGGACAAGGCGGCATGCTCTAGGCGCCCGCCTAGGCGCTCAAGGCGCCCACCTAGGTGGTCTAAAAGGCCGGCGCCACCTCGAGCCTTGGTGGAAAATGGTACTCAGCCATTGGATAAAATGTCTTTTTATCCCCTAAAAAGGGAGAAAAGGGTTTTGGGGGCCATTCTTGCCCCCAAAAACATTTTTAGTGAAGTTTCGAGTGAGAAAAAACTCGAAAAAAACAAGATTTGAAGTTTTGTAGAGAGATCGAAATTTTTTACGACCTACTCAAATGGTCACGAAATTAAAGGATATTCATCCCCAATCTTTTTTAGGCTTATAGTGGATGTAAAAGAGGAGATTTTGGGAACCAAAACATTTCGGTTTGAAGTGATATTGATTCCACTTCAAGAAGGTTGGTATATTTCAATAGTATTTAGTAGGTTATGATAGTCTTTGCTATTTACATTTTTTTTTGTGATACTTTATGATACATATTTGATATGTTATTTGGGTCTTTCGAAAAGAAATTCAATAAAAAAGTCCATTGCCCCAGAACCAAATAAATATTGCTTTTTTTTTTTAGTTTTGTATATGACTTTACTTGTATGATTCATAAACCATAACTTTTATCCCCGTAATTTTTTGTTTATTAGTTAATTTAACAATTGCTTATTAAATAATTGCATGTGTAATATGTTTTTTCGATTTTGTGTTACATCAATTTTTTTTAAAGAAGGATTTTGTGTTATATTATTGCAATTTTGATGTGTATGTTTTACCTAGATTTATTTTTGGGCTTAATAAGAACTCAAGATATTAAAGGGTCAATGTAACAATTATTTTTAACTTATTTCCTATTTGTAATTTTTCTGCAATTTCCTATTAAAGGGTCAAAATATTAAAGGGTCAATGACCATTTTTCAATTTCTTTTGGATGGTAACTTG